GGGTCGGGGGTGGGGGGAGGGCAAAGAGAAACTTATCTCAAGACAAGGTGTCTTTTTTTTATTGCTCTTGAAATTTAAAAGTTTCTGGAAGTTTCTAAAATTCAAGTTTGGAAATGACCTTGTGGGTCAAACAACACAATGGCAAAGCTCTCTGCCCTCTGCAGAGGGGACGGAGCTCAGACCTGCTTTGTGGGCGTTCTTTGTCTTTCACAAAAGCACCTTCTGCTACCTGCAAAGCGAGGGCAAGACAGAACCCAATGGACATGAGAACAGGAGATGCGCAGATAAGAAGACAGCAGAGCTTGGGGAATGAGTGGCCATCCAGACCAAGAGGATTCGTGATGACAGGATGACAGGTGGGGATGGGATCCAGAGAGGTCAACACAGAGAAGAAGGAGCAGGTTTGGCGATGCAGGGCCGGAGAGGAATTCAGCCTGGGAAATGTCAAATGCTGCATATTAACTAGAAATTCTAGAAATTTATAGAGACCTTTACTCTGAATCAGAGAGTTTTTCTTGGCAAATTGAGGGTTTAATTAATTGAATATTTTATTACTAGGGATCATGTTCACTTTCACACGAAGGTTTGCAGTGGAAGAATGCTATAAATGTCAAGACGCTGTTTTCACTCGGGTCAGGAGAAAATAAACCCCAGTCCAGCGCCAGCATAGTTATTGCAGCAGAGGCCCCGTGGTTCTCTGCTCCGTGTGCTGATGGGGGGTAAGTGTGAGGAGAGACGTGAGCCTGCACCACAGGAAACAGATGAGAGTGCTCAGTCTGGAGCCCTGACACCAGCTCCCCCCGCAGCTGCACGGCCATGCAGCCCGCGGTGCGATTCCTGCGCCCGCCTGGGCCTCCCTGGGCGGCCTCATTCTCTCGCTTGTGAAATGAGGTTGGATATCAGAAGCCTGGCCAGTGCTGCAGCTAGGCGATTCTAAGAGAGAAAAGAGAAGGACAGTACTTCTGTGTTCGTTTCTGAGTAACATTTCATAAAAGGTACACTTAAAACACAGAAACACATTCCGTGTGGTAGCAGGTCTGCCGCCCCACACGTGTTTTCCGTGCAGCTCATTGTGGGCAGCCGTGGATGACAGCTGAAACGATGACAAGCTTGAGAAGTCTCACCCCAGCCCTGCCTTTGCTGCCAGCGCTGGCCCCCTGCAGCTCTCACAGTGTAATTCGCTGCCTGGCTCCGAAAGGTGGGCTGCCCGGTGTCCTTTTCATTTTCCAGGCAGTTCCACATTTGTGCTTTCTGTCCGGTTAAACCAAGGACACTTTCACGATAGGATATGAAGAGAAAAAAAGCCAACAGGTTTGGAGTAAGACACGCCTGGCATTGGGCTGAAGAGGAATATTACATTGATGGCGCTCAGTTTCCTCACCTGTAACCAGAGGGAATGGAGCCCGCCTCCCAGGGTTCTGACGAGGACTGAGTGACCCCAGGGAGAGCGTCATGCACGCTGCCCAGCACCCAGCAGGCGCCCAGCCAGTGGAACTGCCCACCCTGGTGGAGGCATGAGCCATGCACTTTCCTGCCCGTGCGAGGCCTCCTTGGGTGAGAGAGGGTAAGTCTGGCTCGGCCATCTCTGTGAGAATATCTGTAAAACGCTCTGGAGCACCTTGCCACTCTCAGGCGATCTCCCGCCTTCTTTCCTGCTTCACCGATGGCGGCTTGTTCTTGAAGAAGAGGAGAGGGACCAAGAGAAACTGAATCTAGGAGACTCTGGTGGGGCCACCGTTCCAGGGAGGCCCATAAAAGAGTGAAGGTGACTGAGAGTGCAGAAGAGGAGGGTCCAGAGAGAATGATGGGGAATAGGGGAGGGGTTGCAGCTCAAACATAAAGAAAACACCAGGACTCTTGGCAGCCCCTTATCACACCTTGCACTAGGGACTAGGGAGCGTCTTGGGAATGCCAAAGCAGGAAGGTCAAGGTGTTTTGTAGACGTTTCCAGTTCTGTCTCTGAGGCTATAGAGTCCGATGAAATAAACAAACTAAGATATCTTTTTCATGCAGGCACATTTCATTATTCTTGTGGTGATTTTGCTGACTGTGTGGCCGATAAGGATGTAGGTGGCTATAGAGGAAGTATTTTTCTTGAGGATTGTAATAAGCAGTCCATGAAACTGGGCCAGAGAGAGAGAGTGTGCTGTGGAGGTTGCTCTGGGAAGGGAGGGCCTAGCTCTCACGGCTTCTCTTCCCAGCCCTGCCTCATCCTGCAGAGCCCTGTGGAATATGCTGTTTGAGCTCTTCCCTCTCTCTCTGCTAGTCTCTGGAAATTGGGATTGCCACCAGCTTTCACTGGGTGTGAGGACAGCAAAATGATTCAAGCAATAGTGCCCTGCTCGGAGGAGATGCCTAGGTGATGTGCTGATAACGAATGTCCACGGAAGAGGAGGATCTGGTTTTCTCATAGCCGCCGTCAGTCCCGTGGCTGCAGATAGGTGGAAAAGATATCAGATAAAGTGGACCCAGACTTCCCTAATGAAGGCCCATACAGTATCACCGTGAAGCTCTGGGTGCCTCTGTCATCGGCAATGCCAGTTGTACTCCCACGGGTGCGGTCTGCGGGCTCCCTGCTTCAGCTGCAGAGCTGTGCTCCTCAGAGAAGGATGGAGAGCCACGTGTACCTGGTATTCCTGAGCATCAGTTCCCCTAACAGAGCTGGATCCGGGCAGATTTCTGGTCACTGGGCCACCAGGCAGGGTTTCTAGGGCCGGCAGTCCCTGCTGCCTCCTCTCCGCTCCCGGCCTCAGGTGCGGTGATGCCGCTGCATTGGCCACCAGAACGGTTGATCCTTGAATCTATTGAGACTGTTCCAATTTGCAAGTCCTAGGGAAGCATGGAAGAGCTGTGTTCATAGCCACAAAGGCAGCCGAAGAGAGTTAGGTACTTTTCACATAAGGCTAATCTGTGAATTTTGACTGTTTCACAAATCTCCCTGATCTTTAGCCCCCGTCTATGATTCTTCTTTCAACCCACATAAAGTAGGATGACCAGAATATAGAATTACAACTGCCGGGGCAGCTTAAAACAGCAGACTTTGAATAGATCTGAGCATGTAAGACCCAGGCATTCTGGTCTTAAGGACAAGAGGAGAGCGGGATGTCTTAAGGAAATGATCCCCTGCCTGATTTGTAGCCCATCCAGATGTGCTGATGTGTAGTTTTTTTATGAGATGCTGTACCACTCTTCCTCCAGCAGCCCCCCCCCGAACCCCCACAGCTGCACTTTGCTGCTCCTTCCTCTCCCATTGGTAGTGGACCGAGTGGTTCCTGGTAGCCACCTATTTGTAGCCCATCCAGATGTGCTGATGTGTAGTTGTTTTTATGGGATGCTGTACCACTCTTCCTCCAGCAGCTGTACTTTGCTGCTCCTTCCTCTCCCATTGGTAGTGGACCGAGTGGTTCCTGGTAGCCACCTAGCCATGCATCTACCTCCGGGGACACATTTTAAGGAAATGTGAGAGGCCCGTCCACCTGGTTATTTCTGCTCTTTGCACATTGTAACTTACCCTTGGACTTGCAACTGAATCAAAGGGTTTGGGGTCCTTGTGTTTTGGAAACTTGCACTTCCAGGTGGAGTATTCTCTTGGCATCTTCTTTGACCCTTAGTCCCTGATAAATTCCTAGCATTAAGGAGCCCGTCAGAATTTGGGATGATAACACAAAGGCACGTAAAAGGGTGGTTTCTAGGGTGTAAAATTCAAACCATTATGAGTTAGTCACATGATACCGTAGGCTAAAGAAAATAAGAAATGTATAGTATGTTTGTAAGTTGATGTTGATTTGATATCTTTTTCAGCCTTCTCTCCAAATTAGTAGTGGGCATCAATGAACCGAGCCCACTAGATCCAGCGCACTTGACTATTGCCTTTCACTTGGTATCTTTTCTGCTGAGTCCCTGGTAGGCTGAAGGCAAAGTGTTATTGCTTCAGTGGATAAAAATAAAATCAAGAAACTGACAGGTAGTAGAGGTAAGATAGATAAGTCACTGTAGTAATATAAGGACAACGTGAGTAGGTACCCAGAAAGTGTTATCAGAATGCTCCGGGGAGCTGCCATGGCGTTGAAGGAGGACACTGAAATCCTACATAGTTGGAGGGGATACTCAGACAAAGGCTTCAGGGAGGTGGTTCACTTGAAGCACATCAGGCAGGATCTTACATGGTAGGGATGGGAAAGGGAAGAATTTGTGGGTGGTGATGACTGTCAAAGCGCCGGTAAGTACATAAGCTTCTAAAGTTCTATTCAATAGTGTCTGTGCATATATCTGTGTGTATGTGTATATATTGTGTGTGTCTAGGTACAGTCATATGTACATTTTATTTTATTTTTGTAAATATATTTGTATTGATTTTAGAGAGGAAGGGAGAGGGAGAAAGAGAAAGAAACATCAGTGATTAGAGTGCATCACTGATCGGCTGCCTCCTGTACACCCAACACTGGGGATCAAGCCCACAACCTGGGCATGTGCCCTGATCAGGAATCGACCCATGACCTCCTGGTTCATAGGTTGGCACGCTTCACCACTGAGCCACACCAGGTGGGCTTTTTAAAAAATAAAAACCTTATATTCTCTTCAAAAGTGAAAGAACAAAGATTTTAAGTAGAAGCATTGCCCAAACTCTGTTCTCTAGTTCTGAGAACAAGAATACCTCCGAGCAGTACTTCCTATTAATAGACATTCATGTTTATACTGGCCAGGTAGGAATGAGGTGTTTTTTGATTTTCTTTTGTCCAGGCATCTATGATTGGGGCTACTCCCTTTTTTTAAAAGTATGTTGAAACATTAGACTTCCTGTTTCTGCTTGATTTTGAAAATACCTCCTGCTCGCCTATCACAGGTAATCTCTGTGTTCTTGTGTAGTCGTGGTTTACAGGTAGCAAGTGCAGGCAGCAACCAGTCCCTCCTCACTGGGATGTGGAGATCTATCTGGAGTCACAATTAAAGGCTACCGAATGCATTCCACGACGGGTGACGAAACCCAGCTCCCAGAATAACAAGCAGGACAACTTTTAAAGTGACTGTTGTTGACCAGTGTCTTCTGTGCATTTGCGTGGTACGCTCATGGTGGATTTTTCTAAAGGACGGTATAGATTTTTCTGAATTACTCTCGGGAAGGACGGACTCTTTCTGAGGTTGAGACAGATGCCATAGCATACAACAGGGTGGCTGTGCGCGTCGCTCCAGTTGGTGTGACTCTGCCAAGACTCTGTGAGGCCGTCCTGATTGACAGGGAGAAAATGCTGAAACTAGGTGAGTTAAAACTGCCCTCACACTAACTTGGATTTAATGTGCATGACGGAACCTGATGGAGAGTTCAGATGACTAAGTAACCCGGTGTTGTCTACGAGGGAATGACTTTTGGTGGCAGCTTTAAAGTGGTTGTGTTCAACAAATCATGGCTTTTCTTTTGCTGTGACTCTGGGTGTGGAGAACTGGTGTTAAGCTAAGGGAGGTTTGACTATTGTGGGTGGAAAAATGGCATCTATAATTTGCATGTAGACAGTTTCATTTGTAGACAAATGAAGACTTGAGATGTTTCAGAGATGGGGCTCTGAAAAGATTGGATAGCTTTTTCACTTAAAGTTTCTTCTTTTTTTTATAATTTCCACAAGTTTATTAACTCTAAGGCATCTCCGGTTGCCAGTGGTCTGGGAATGGCAGTAACGCCATGTGATGGCCTGCAAACTCAAGGATGTTTATTTCTGTTCTCCCATTGTGTCGATGTTTGTCAGACGATCCCTGCTACCATTTCCTCTAACAGCCAATAAGCAATTTTATCATATATATATATATATATATATATGCCCTTCTTGTACTTTTAAAATACACCTTAGGCTTGTTTTCAGCCATATCGAATGCTTCTACAAGTATACTTAATTTTGTCATGGCAAATTTGGAAAGTTTTTGAGGATTAAAATAAAGAGAGCATTTATACAATTTTTTTCAAGTTTACGTATAATATTTATTGAAGTTTATCTAGAATTTTCCTGCTCAAAAAACTTTCTGGAGCTTAAATTGAATGTTAGAAAGGAACTGAAAGTGTGGAGACATAGGTGGGCATTCATAGATCTAGAGTCTTGACTCATTAATTGAATGCTTGTCAGCTAGCCGGTGATACAGAATGTGGTCACCGGCACATCCTTTGTGTTCAGTGTTCATTTGCCTACCAGACGCCTGGAGCTGTGCACGTGATTCTCTGTCAGCTTTCTCTCTATACGCATATAGGCATATTCTATCTGATAGAGAAAAATGGTTATGTGTCTGTGACTGTATATCATGGCACATATGCAGTTGGGATCAGAGCCAAGTTTGACTGGGAAGGTTTTACAGAAGAAGGGGATTTTGGGTAGGGTTCCAAAGGGAGGGGGAGTTATATACTTTGGCAGAAAGAAGAAGCATACATAAAGCTTCCAAGGCTGGAGTAAGTCAAACACATTCGGGAATAAGCATGAACCATTTCAGAGCAAGTGATTCATTACCGGTTGAAGAAAGCCAGGCTGAATGTGAAAAGGCAAGGGGATGAGTGTGGGAGAGAACGGGGGTCGGGGTGGAGGGACTGTGGGAGCTTCTCTTGTCCATGTTGCTGGTAAATGTCACCCTTGGATACCAGCACCCTGGCCATGTTGCCATCTAGTGGAACTGGCCCAGATGCACACGGGAGCATCACCCACCTCTTCTCACTTCAGGTCAAATTAATAGTGTGGTACTGGAGGTAGGGAAGCTTACTGCTCTTTCTGCCAGGGCATTTTAGATGAAGAATTAGCCAAAGGAGATGGATGTAACCATGTTCTCCAAAATTATATTAATTTTGCCTTAGGGAAAAAATGGAGCTGAATACCAATAAATATATTTAAATATATAGAACACATTTATCAAATATAAAATAATTTCCCATACATAACAATTGCTGAGAGTACAGGGCATACATGGCCCTTTGGCTCAGGGCATGGAGCATGTGGAACCCAGCATTGGAGAAGTTCTGCAGTGGAGTGAAGGCATAGCCCATCTGGCTCTGGGGTGGCTTGTTATTTCATGTGGTTACAGAGTCCATCCTGGTACAGTGGTGAAAGAGGAGAGTCCTTGACATGGACCCCACAGCCCACAGACCTCAGAGCTGGAAGACACTGTAAAGAGCTGTACTTAGCCTGGCCGGTGTGGCTCAGCAGTTGAGCATCGACCCAGGAACTGGGAAGTCGCGGTTTCAATTCCTAGTCAGGGCACATGCCCGGGTTGCGGGCTCAATCCCCAGTGAGGGGCATGCAAGAGTTAGCAAATTGATGATGTTCCTCTCTCATCGATGTTTCTATCTCTCTATCTCTCTCCCTTCCTCTCTCTCTAAAAAATTCAACTTAAAAAAAACCATAAAAAAACAAACAAACAAAAAGAGCTATACCTGCCCTCCCTTCCACCCATCCATGCATGTGTCCATTCATCAAAACTTACGGAATTCCTGTTACATACCAGGTACTCTTCCAGGTACCAGGGAAATGCCAGTGAACAAAGCAGATAGAAGTCCCTGCCCTTGGAGAGACAACCTCTGGATAATAAGCAAACAAATAAGTAGAACATTCAGAGGTAGAGCAGGGGAAGCTAGATCAAAGGAAAACTAAGCTAAGATTTATGTTAGCTACAGCTTTTAAAACAAGGTAATAAGGCTTTTCATATGGCACACTTTTCTAGCTACCTCTGGCCTTTGGCACCTGTATCCTTAATTTTTCATTTTTTACCAGAGGCCTGGTGCATGAAATTTGTCCATGGGGGTGGGCATCCCTTAGCCTGGCCTGCACCCTCTAGCAATCCGGGACCCCTCGGACATCCCTTTCGCAATCTGGGACCACTGGCTCCTAACCGCTCACCTGCCTGCCTGATCGCCCCTAACCGCCTCTGCCTACCTGCCTGATTGCCCCAAACCCCTCTGCCTGCCTTCTTGATCACCTCTAACCACTCTGCTGCCTGTCTGAATACCCCTAACTGCTTGTCTGCCTGCCTGATCACCCCTAACTGCCTCTGCTTCAGCCCCCACCACAGTGGCTTCATCCAGATTTTTTTATTATTATAGATATGTTCTGTATTTTTAAAATATATGGAAAATATATATATATATGGTGGGATACTGTTAATGGAAAAGGAAGGACAAGATTTCTTTTAAGCTGAAGGGGGATAGGATTGTTTTGTGTGTGTGTGCATTGGGGGGTGGTGGGGAGGGAGGATTTGCTATCGTGTGTCCTCACTGAGAATGTGCTATTAGACTCACCTGAAAGATGTGAGGAAGCCAGGCCTGTGAGTATCCTGGGGAAGAACATTCTGGGCAGAGGGAAAACATGCAAAGGCCCTGAGGTGGGAATGGGTGTGGTATTCCAAGAAAGGCCAAGGTGCTGATACGAGGAGGGGAGATGATCCAGACAGGTGGTGAGGAACCAGAATAGGTGGCGCCTTGTGGACAGTTATAATGAATTGACTTTTACTGGGCAGGAGATGGTCTAGTGTAATCTACTGACTTTACAAATGAAATGTAGGACAACGAAGAAGTCCAGCCAGGTGTCCATGGTTATTCAGTGTCCTGGTGCCAGAGCTGGGATGAGAACCTGCCTCTGACCCCAGCATTCTTCCCGCCACCCCTGCTGCTTGGTGGGACGTGGGCCACACACCGGCCCAGACTTCCAGGTGCAGTGGCTCCTCCAGCAGCTGTTGCAGCGGTTCATTCTGCTTGTTCTCCAGTGTGTCCTGCCCACCTTACAGAGGACCCGCTGCAAACACAAGAAAGGGTCAGACCTCTCATCTCCGAGGAGTCCCCTGCCAAATATTGCCTTTCTTTGTTTTGATCTGGAGATAAATCCTTCTGGTTTTCTAAATACTCTAATCTCATAAACCAGAATCTACAATCTTCTAAAGCCTCCCTATGTTCATTGCTAAGTTATCTGGATACAGTTAACACAAGATAAGAGTGACTGATTGTTATCAAATGCAGTTTGACCAGGACAATTTCTGCTCAATATTCTTTGTCCACTTGCTTTACTGTGAGTCAGTTCAAGCCTTTGTTTTTCTTCCATTCCTTTAAATCTTATGACTGTTGTCCTCTGGACACAGGCCAAATCTTCTAATTTCGCTTTCTGTCAAAGGTCGGACTAGTGCTAAGTATAGAGAAAAATAACTCTTTGCTGTTACCTGAGTCATCCCCTCTCCTCTAGTCACCCATGGCCTGTACTCTGTGGACAGAGTAACACGAGGTATTTGTGTAAGGTCGTCCCATCTTGTGGAGAGAATTAAGTCATCCTTGACTCTCTTGCCTCTTCTGTCCCTTTTCTCCATTATGGATACCTCAAGATTTACATTAGCTTCTTAATTTGCATTTAGAATTGTATAGCCCTTTTTCTGTGTGTTTTTTTAAATGTTCACTTGTATACATTGTCTGCAAATGAGCTCTCAAACCCTGGGGTTAACATTGATTGGCGTCCTTTGGTATCAGTACTTCCAGTAGTTAGTTCTTCATCTACCCTAGACATGAGGGCGAAGACCCCCACTGTCCTTTGCTTGTGGTCTTTGGGAGAGTTGTCCTCGCTGGCTTTGGGGAGAACCTGAGGAGGAGTGCTTGCTGGGGGAAATTCTCTGATCAAAACTCAGGACAATAAAGCAACCGCAGAAATGCAGGTCTTTACCTGGGGGTTGCTACCAGCAGCAAGGAGGCCTTAAGAACTTGACAAGAAACATTTCTTCATTTCCAGCTTATGAACAAGTGTTTGCTACATGTGGGTGGTGGACCCCGAGAGTGTTCAGTTACAGGTGCCTGCAAAGACAGCCTAATTAAAATGCCGACCGATTTCCCCAGCTTCCAGCTTCCAGAAAGTCATTCTGTT